ATTGTAAGGTTCCCATTAGACAGTATGGATATGGGCATTGCATCCAGCATGAGTAGTTCATGGGGTATATGAATTATCCTGTGTTTTTTTCGCTAAGTCAGCTACATTGGTCCTAATCTTATTGCATCAGTGTAACATTATCATATAGAGCTTGCAACCTGGTCTAGTACAATGTATACATAGAGAATTTCCAATATATACAGGTCCGATGTGTGTGCTCCGTTGTAGTCACCTGCAGTGTGGTGTAGTCTCTATAGCTGAGCACTGGGAGACCGGTCATATCTGCCTTAGTCACAGTTTCTTGTTCGAGTGTCATTTATCTTGTCAGAAAACCTTGATACATTTTTACTATCAGTAGTATCTAACTGTCAGGGATCCGCGGGCGGCTAGGAGGGGAGGCTCCCCTCCTCTTACCTGTCGGCGAGCGGCGTCTCCTCTCTGCTGCTCGCCGCTTGTGTCCTCCACGCCCCCCAGTGGCAGCATGTATAACGCTGCACGCTGGGAGGTCACTGAATTATGCAAACGCCGGGGTCACGTGAGTGACCCGGCGTTAAAGAAACAGTACCACAATCACAGTGGGAGGTATAGATATCCCCCACGTGTGATTGTTAATTCTGATTGGAAGTTATCCAACCAGAATTAAACCAAGGGTATTTATACTTACCTTTCCTGTCCCTCAGTGCCCTGTTGTGGTCTTGTGATACCTGTAGTGCTGTTCTCTTGTGTTGCTCTCTGGTTTCCGATTATTTGGCTCGTTATTCCGATTATCCTGTCTTCTCCACTCCTTTGACCTCGGCTTGTTTCTCGTTCTCCCGTTTTCTGGCTCCCTTTACTTGGTTTGTCTCCTGACCATTCTTAGTGTGCTTAGCCCGGCCACTCTAAGGACCGGTATAGCACCCTTCCTCTCTGTGACCTGTTAGCGTGTTAGGTTCCGGAATCGTGACACTAACGAAGTGTCACCGGGAGGGGGGGTGGTTATAGAAGGGAAAAAGGAGTGTATGGTTCACATTATCGCTGATCCGTCACCCTTTACAGGGGTCTATGTTCCTAAGCCTGTGTGTACCCGTTAGTCCAGTAGGCTTGTGAGATCCTTCAGTTCTCAAGGTCCGTTCCTTCAGTCAGTATTCACTTTGTGGATCTGCCTGTCCCCTGACGTGGTCAGGTAGCACTTCTAGTTTACTAAGTCCCAGAGTTGTCTTGCTACGTGGTGGGTGTTATTCTCTACCCTTGTGGACCAGCATTCCCAGCATAGGCAGATCATTTATAAATAATGTGAACAGCAGGGGGCTGAGTATAGAGCCTTGGGTAACAAAACACGTGACTGGAAGAGGGAGGGAAGCGCTATCAGAAATCGCCACGTGTTGCACTCGGTCTGAAACATACGATCAAAACCAGGTTAGCGGACGATCACCAATGCATGAGTCAAAGGCCTTGGCAAAATCAAGGAAAATAGCTCCAGTTAATTCTCCTTGTTCCATGCCAATTTAGATGTCATTGCAAACTTTTAAGATGGCAGTCGAAGTTGAGTGATTTGGATGAAGGGGTCAGATAATTTGATCGTTGATAATATTCACATAGTTGCGTGTGGTCACATTTTTCCAAGATTTTTGACAATACAGGGAGCAATGATATCGGCGAAAGTTAGATACCAAAGTATTGTCACCACTTTTATGGATATGTGCAACTTTTGCAGTCTTCCTAAGTTTGGGTATGTATCCTGACACCAGGGATTCATTGATAAGGGTAGTGACAGGTTTAGCAATTGCTAGCGCACTGAGCTTCAGCAACATTGGTTGGATCTGGTCCACACTGGTTTTTCATTTTTTCAATTATTAATATGTTTATTAATGACACTAACAGGCACAGATCTAAAATTACATTTCTCTATATGAGGATTTTGAAGATTTGGCAGGGCCTAATCTTTATTTGAGGTTTGAAAATGAGTGTCATTTGTTATTTTAGCAACCAGGGTGGTAGCACACCCAACAACATAATTTTCTTTAAAGGCATTTGCTACATCTAGGGGGTGTTGCAGTGTTTGGTTGTCCATTTTGACAGTGAAGGCTTGGGAGTGGAATGTTGGGGTTTGTATGCTATTTATGATTTTTTTTGAAGTTTATTGGGTTTGATAGGTAGATGTTAAAATTTTCACAGAAATATTGGGCCTTTGTCATTTTTTTTTGTTTTGTGCATGCATTTCACCATTGTCTGTAAGTACAGTGATCATTCATGGAGCCAGTACACTTGAACTTTCACCACAGTGAATCTCTAAACTGGTACATTTGAATGAGGTCAGCTGTAACCCAGGACAGGTGTGTCTCTTTTAGTTGCACTTTATGCAGAGGGGCATGCAAATTCCCAACACATAAGAGCTTGGACTGAAAAAATACAATTGCAGAGTCTAGATCTGGTAATAGACCTAATCTGTGCCATGGTATGTTCATGAGACCACTTAAAAGGATTCAGGATTACATTTTTTGAAAGACCTGGTGATTATAATCTTGGGAGGAGATTTAGTGGTCTTTATTTTGCGTATGCAGTACACTAGACAGTGGTCACTGAAACTGTTAGGGGGAACGCCCGCCTCCTGAATTCTGTCAGGACAACTGGAGAGAATCCAATCTAGCAAAGTATGGTTCTGGCTTTTAATATCAATGCCAGACTCACATTTAATAGAGCTTTAACCAGCTCTTGAATAGATGGCGTACAGTAGTATAATCCCCACTTATAGGATATGTGAAGTGATGTACTTTAGCAGATGTCGCAGCGATACAAAGACCATAGAAATAAAAATAAAAAGAAACAGCAATAGTGTTCACTGTATATAAAAGACCAGGATAATTAAATAACAGTTGATTACTCACATTTGGTTGAGCAGGCAAGCTGCTTAATGAATAAGGCCTGACTGGTATAATCCCCACCTTGGATTCTTTAGAGTAGTCCTCACTGGAATAGTAAAATTGCCAGGCAATAAAAAAATAAAATACTAAAATAGTAGCATTAATAAAGGAAAGTGGCACACCCATAATTGGAAGTACCCATAATACCTTTATTTAAATTGCTAAAAATATCCACAATGCATTTCACCACACAAGGCTTTATCAAGTGGAGACAAAAAAACTACTATTACTATTGCTATTACTTGTTATTTCTATTGTCTTGTATAGCTATGACATCTGCTAAAGTATATTTATATTCTTCTTTTATTGTTTGTGAGGGTATCCCATTGCATAGGTGAGATGCCTCTCTCGTTTTTTGCTAGATAACGCTGACCCGTTGTTTCTCTTTCTTTTGCAGCCCACAATGTAGTCAAAGCATTTTAGAATAGATTGACTTCTTACTTGATGTCTGCCAGGAGCTGCTCCTACCTCCACTACAGCCTTCAAAGAGTTGGAACGTCTCTGACTGAGTTCAGCGCGTTGATGCAGATGGTGCTGAGCTCAATGGATGAGAGCTCTCAGCTGACATGCTCAGCCAATGAGCTGGCCCTGTACTTAACTGAGGAAAGTTAATGGTATCTCCTAAGCAGGAGCTTCTGGCTGCAGAGAGGAACCTAGGTAAGAAGTCATCCCATTCTAAAACAGTTTGACTGTTTAGAATGGAAGGGTGCTAGTGGCTGTAGAAGTTATGCTACTTGAAATATTTCTTGAATCATGGCCTGGTGCCAGACTTTAATCTACGTAATTCAAAGCCCGTGTTCTTAGGCAAAACTTTTCATCTGGTATAAAATGTAAATCACCGTTCTATGGCCACATTATGGTTATCGACAATATAATGCTTCTTCTTTACATAATTTGTAGTTTTCAAAGATGTTAAAAAGTACTAGGTTGTGTCGACACTGGTAGCCACAGTACAAAAGTATTACTCTATAATATACACAACAGTATTGCTGCACAAACATATGTATACTTTAAGAATTAAATACGTTGGTATGATCCATTATTGTAAAAACATTTTTTTTCTGTAAAGATTTTATAGCTGTTTTCATGCTAACATGAACACTTCATCCACATCCTCTGTTTATCAGTCAATCATTATGGCACAGCTCAGGGTCTTCTTACTGGTGAAAATGGAACCCAGACCATTGCATTGGCGGATCCAGGGGGGGGGGCAACGGGGCAATTGCCCCCCCCGAGATTCTCCCCTGCCGGCTAACGCAGGGCTGGCATTGCCCAAGTGCCAGCCCTGCAATGTGCCTGCGGACCGGGGAGGAAGATCAGAGCTCTCCCTCCCCAGTCCGCAGGCACCGTGCTGACAGCCGGCGGCGGAGGGAGGGAGTGAGAGAGGACCCAGAGCTCAGTCTGCAGCTCCTCCGGGTCCTCCAAATCTCGCGAGAGTGAACTCTAACCCGGGAGCGCGGGCTAGAGTTCACTCCAACCACTGGGACCACCAGGGAATCACCACTGGGACCACCAGGGAAATGTCCCCCCTCCTCCTAAATAAAGGTAAGAAGGGAGGGGGGACATAGAATATTTATTTTATTAAATTAAAAAAAGATTATTATTAAAAAGCCTCCTTCCCTCCCCCCATTACACACACTGCCCCCCCATTACACACACTGCCCCCATACACATACTGCCCCCATACACACACACTGCCCCCATACACATACTGCCCCCATGCACACACTGCCCCCCATACACACACTGCCCCCATACACACACTGCCCCCCATACACACACACTGCCCCCCATACACACACACACTGCCCCCATACACTGCCCCCCATTACACACACTGCCCCCCCATACACACACTGCCCCCATTACACACACACACTGCCCCCCATACACCACACTGCCCCCATACACACACTGCCCCCCACACACACTGCCCCCACACACACTGCACCCCCATACACACACTGCCCCACAAACACTGTCCCCATACACACACACTGCCCCCATACACACACTGCCCAACAAACACTGTCCCCCATACACACACTGCCCCAAACCACTGTCCCCATACACACACTGCCCCACAAACACACACTGCCCCACAAACACTGTCCCCATACACACACAGTGCCCCACAAACACTGTCCCCATACACACACTGTCCCCCATACACACACTGCCCCAAAAACACATACAGTGCCCCCATACATACACTGCCCCCTAACACACACACTACAACCCTGACATACACTGCCGCACTCACACACTTCACCCTTAACACACACCACTGCTCCTATACCCTATATCCCAGCAGACCCAGGTAAGTTGTCAAACTGTTCTTAAACGGTATGACTACTTACTCTGGGGTGGAATCCTGGCACTACTGACACCATAACTACTACACTGAGCTGTAGTGGTTATTGTGCCTGGATTATTTATTTAAATAATCTACAAGTGCCCCTCCCGAGATCAGGCTCTGGATCCGCCACTGGACCATTGGAGATTTATTGCTTTGTGTTGCAACTCTATCAAAGAGAGATAGACATCCATGGAGTGATGGGAAGATATTGCCAAACAAAGTTATAAGGTAAGATATTGCCAAAAGACTGCCAACATTTAAAATGCCATGTAGAGCAGGAATAGGTTTTCAGTCATGCAAAATATAATCCACAATGCTGTGTACCTGGACTCTTTCCTTTTCTTAAACATAAAAGGTGATTATTTAGGAAATTTCATAATTCTAATTCATCATTCTGTAACATGTCAAAGAGACTGTTCTGTTTACCCACTTTCTCTTAAAAGGACACTGTAGTCACCAGAACAACTACAGCTTATTGTACTTATTGTACCTTTTGCAGTAAACACTGTCTTTTCACGGGAAAAGACTGTGTTTACATTACAGCCTAGGGATACCTCCACTGGCCACTCCTCATATGGCTGCTAGAGGTGCTTCCTGGGACAGTGCTGCACAGCGTGGAGCACTGTCATTCAGTGTCTCCATCCTCTGCATGGAGACAATGAACATTCCTTATAGAGATGCATTAATTCAATGCATCTCTATAAGGAGATGCTAATTGGCCAGGGCTGTGTTTGGCTTGTGCTGGCTACTGATCTGCCTCTTTAACAGTCTCTGCCAATCCTATGAGAACGCAATGTGATTGGCTCAGATTACCACTTCTGATGATGTCTACCAAGCAGGCACATCAGGGGCAGAGATGGCAGCAGCAGACAGGAACAAAAGTAAGATTTTACTATATTTAGGAGGGCAAAGGGAGGGGACTAGGTGGGGAGGGGGCAAGATGGTGTTTTGAACACAATACGGTCAGGGATACTTTATTGTGTTGCTTACCCTATAATATACCTTTAAGCTATTTAACGCATGGCCCTTGAAATGTTTAAATCCTTAAAGACCACATGATGGTTTATACTGTCATGCAGTGTTGGGCTTTAATACCCAGCTATGGCATAGATTGCCATGGCTTTAAAGGACCAGCAGGGCTAGATCCTTGCTAGTACAAGGAAGCACAGGTCTCATTCAAAAAATAAGGCTTGCCTCTGTCAGGTGAGGTCATAATGACTGACATTGTGTGGTTTGCTCAAAGTGAGCAATGCACATAGCCCTTAAATCCGTTTAAATCACATTGGCTGAACAATCATACTCTTGCGACCCATTTTTTGCTGAACAATCATGTACTGCTGTGGTGATTACTTTGGATCCAGGAGGATTCTGAATTTGCCTCTGGCAGAGGAAGATCCCCTTTTCAGACCGATCTGTGCTGTATAAGCTGTGATTATCTATGAGTTAGGGTTAGAGTTAGGGTTGCAATTAGATCTATGGTTAGGACTAGGGTTGGTGTTAATGTTACAGGTAGGGTTAGGAGTTAGGTTAGTTTATAGTGTAACAGATAGCTTCCCTTAACCAAACATCACCCCTAGGAAATGAGCAAAGAGGCCTATCAAAATTACAGATTGTAAGTAGTGGGACACATGTGGTCTGTAAAATTCCCTATGAAAATAAAACATGTGTGAAAAACACAAATAATAAAACTTAACCAGGAGATTTGGCTCAGGTTGGTGATAAAATGGTTAAATTTAAAGTGTTAAAATGATCTTGGAAGGGGGTGGAGCCAGCAACCTACAGAGACGGGTTCCACAAACAACGTGGTAACCATGGGCGTCCGCAGG